AAGTTATGCTAGCAGAAGTTTTTAACAAACTTCAAAATGTGATCAATCTAGCAGTGAAGACAAGCCTTGTAGTACTCGTAACTGAGTAAAACCACTTCATGTTGATCCTGAGCTTTGGGAGAGGTTACTTTATACATAACCCTTGATTCTTGCAGTGTCTGCAGGGCTTGTTTCAAAAGGGCAGTGGTGGGGAAGGTGGTTAGAAATTAGAAGACGACTGCCTATTTCTTCCTAAAACCTGCTAGATCTGTTTTATGTCAGTAGGATAAGCAGGGAACTTTCATTTGTGTACGATAAGCATAAAGTAAGATAGCCTTTAAAAGGAAAAATGTGTAACTGCACAAAAATGGGCATAGTCCCATGTGTATTAAGTGTCAGCATTGGCAAAGTTTTCTCACTATCTGCCACTACTTAAAGTGGAGCTGAGTGGATCTACTCCTCACTCCAAATATGATTAGGGAATTGTAAAAGACACTTACTATTAGTGAGTCTCATGTTGAAACACCTCTGTCAGTAAAATTGTCCAGATGAGGATTACTGAATTGGAAGGACTGGCAGCTTTTTCCTTTCTGTCAGTGTAAGGCTTTGTACTTAAGCGTGGGTTTAACTACTGGCAGAGAAGGAAGAAAGTGGAGAAATTGGGAATATTGTCTTTTCAAAATCGGTTTCGGAGTAGTTGCTGATACTGTTAAACAGGTTAACCACTTGTGCATTTGCTTAAACATTTTTTTGCAGTAATCACAGAAGTGCTTGATTTCAGAGTCCTCAAACCTTTCAATCCCCACTGATCTTGAAAGTTGTACTTGTGCAAGTTTAGCATATGAGAAAAGAGTGGGTGCTGTAAAAATGCATGAATGCAGAGAAAATTGACTTCAGAGAATATGGTGCTTCAGCTTAAGTGTAGGACTAGCAATTTATTAAACCACGTCCTCATGGCTCTGAAATTCTAGGAATATTTCCCTGACAAGTGTGTGGAGCTCTCTGGCTTACTCAACACTGACGTGCTGAGCTGCAGCTCTGGCACTTACTCCCCTCCGGCTCAATGGAACGGGTAACATGAATGTCAGGCGAAGCTTTGAGTCAGACTTGGAGAATCCAGAGAACCTGAGGATAGAAAGGACTTGCTGGCTAATCCAGTGTGTGGTTTTATTTGCTTTGATTTGGGAGTGTGCATAATGTTTTGCTGGGCCTCCTGTTTTTCTCTTAAGGGATCATTCCATATTCAGTAGTTGTATTGGGAAGGTTGCCTTGTCATTCAGCCTCTGCCAGGTTTATTGTGGCACTGCAAGATATGCTTTCTTCTGGTTTATCCCTTTTTACTATCATTTCTAATGCTTTAATTTCTCACCATTTAATGCTCGGCTGTGCCATATATATTCAGCTGTTTCCTAGTCTTGTGCTCCACTAAGGCTATTCATTTCCCTGTCAGACTGCTGCACTTTGCTTAAATGTTTCTGCACATTCAGGTGTCCTTACAAAGACGTTGTATGGAGACAACACATCAAGCTTGTTCACTGAGCTCCAGTGTTCAGTAATTCACTTATCAAATAATACACTTTACAAAATACTGCCAAGCAGAACTTATTACTTAAAACATACTTTTTCTTCCAAGTGACAGTGTGAGACAAATGATCCTTTTATTTGCTGTAAGTTATGTTCTGTTTTTCTACTAATTGAAGGAATGGTACCTTCTGTCAGGCAGGCTCTGCTCTGTCGGCTATGTTGCCTTTGTGCATGGAAAAAAATAGAACAGAATGAAATGGTTGTCAGTGTCAAGTCCTGCAAGGTAATGTGTCTTAGACATGCTTATCTGGGATTAGAAATCCTGGTTTAAAAGTACTGAGTGGTTCAGTTCAATTATTTCTTGTAGGAGTTGTTTGTACTTTGATTATTTTCCCAGGTACTCTTTAAAAATCCAGACTTACGATAAGAAACTGTAGTGATTAATCGTAGTCAGTCTTACGGCAACCTGTTAAAGTATAGCATCTTTACTTTTGTCTTTATCGTAAAGCATGTGAAATTTCTGGCAAAACTGTTTTAAGAAAGCTAAACAGCCCTTGAATTAACCTTGTTTTAAGACCTTTTTGAGATGTCTACCTGTACTGTATACATTGGAAAGTGAGAGTATACTTTAGACCTCAACTGAGACCTGAAACTGGTTTTGTGTTACTACTTAAGGCATTCTTCTCACTTGGTAATAATGCCCAAGTGGAAATAATTAAACCTTATGCTTTTTCCTGTTAAAATGAAGCCTTGTTCCTCACATCACAAGTGATCCGTGAGGTACGTATTGATGGAGTAAAAAGTATGGATCTCTGCAAAGCTGTTCTTTCGATGTCAGACTCTGCCATTCTGGAAAGAATCAAAACAAGACTTTGGACTTACCAACTCTATTTCATGACACTGCAGTTTCACTGGATACCATTCTAATATTAATTTGAAAAAGATGTCCTGAAATCTGATGTGCAAATTCCTACTGGGATAATTTAGCCTTTCCTTCATTAGCAAAAGGTAGGGGTTTTGAGAGTTGTCTGTACCGTTTCATTTATAAATGTATTTTCTTCTAATACTTCTGCATTCTTGGGACTAGTAAATAAATACCAGTTCATTTTTTAATTAAAAATGTATTTATTTTTGAAATGCTGGCTCATGGCAAGCCAGCACTTGCAGTATGATCACAAAGAAGCCTGGGCTGTTTGGCTAGTTTGATAGACAGGATGTTCTCCTGGCTTTGGGAAGATGTTGTTTGCGTGCTTAGAAATCGTTGGGAAACGTTTCCATTGTCAAGATTAGTGTTTGAAAGGGTTTTAAGAATTTTTTTTTAAATATGTCTGTTTTTTTAAGGAATTCTAGAGACGCAGTATTGCCAAAGAAATGTCACTGGGATTGCACAATGTACAAGTTGGATCAATACATTGTCCCAGTTGTATTTCTGGCAATACTTCATGTGCTAGCACAACATTTTCAATCTTGTACAGCATACTTATCTTTGCCTGATGAGAATGCATTCAAATTTTGTAACCTTCAGCTTGGAACAAGGGAGTCCTAACGTTACATTGGGCTAATACATTCCTAAAACCAAGAATGCCAGTAGTCAACAACATCTTTAAAATGGTATAGGAATTCCAAAATAAACTTAGAGAATTATATTTATTCCTTCTGTCACTTACTAGCCTTCTGAATTCCTTCAGTTGGCAATAGGTTGCTATCAGGAATTGTGGGAAACGTCATCTTATGGACAACAGGAATAACCTCAAATTCAGTGGATAAAATATTGGCACAGGAGCCAGGAATTCTTTATTCTGTATCTTCTGTTCTGTAGAACAGCATGCTTTGCTTTCGTGGCTCAGATGATGTGTTTGTCTGAAAGACGGAGCTCTTCAAAATGCTTATTATATTGGCTTTCATAGTAGACTCTTGCCCTGAGATTTTAACTGGTGAAGAGTTAAAGAGTGCTAAAGTGGAGAAGGGATGTCTAGCTAAAATCTAATCTTAATGTTTTTTTGAATTTTAAACATCCGAAGAGAACACATTCTCAGTTACAGTTTTTGTATTTAAGAACCGAATTGAAAAATATCTGTTGGGTATGTACTGAGGAAACTCTTGTGGGTTTTTTTCTGACATCTGATGCAGTTTTGTAATGTTATACATGCAAATTAATGCAGGAAGTTAGCAGTTTCACTTGTGCACAAGATTGTTTTATTGCCTTCTTTGTGGTATCTGAGTAGTGAATGTTTAACCTAATTATCTTACTGCACATCAGAGCTGCCTGTGTTACTCTTGGCCCAAGGAGTAGGAATGTTTCTCTTGACCAGAAATTTCCCTGGCCTCAGGCTCTCTGCTGGGCTGAGGCACCAGAAGAGGGACCTGCTGGATATGGTGGAGGGCAGTCTGGAGAGCTATGAAACTTTTTATTAAGTTGGTCTTGTTTGTGTGTGCTGAACCCTTAAGCAAGGAGTGCTGTGTTATGTAGCTAAATTACACAGAAGCCTGGCTGAGACCTGACTGATAGCCTGCGAAGCAGCACCATTACAAGGCTCTGCGCATAAAATAGAAGAAATAGTTCAAGTACCGTTTCTTTCACCTCTCAGCTTAAAACTGAATTGGAAATGTCTTTCCATTTTGCCCCCTCCTCTTGACGAAGAGGCGGGTGGGATTTGTTTTACAGCTGTGATACTCCGCTCCTCGCAGAAATGACCTGTGCAGGGGGGAGGACCTTGCCGAAGGAACTCTGCGCTGTCAGCATCAACTGTTGAGTCCCTTCAGTCTGGACCTGCTACAAGCCTTTACGAGTTGAAGGCAATGTTGACACTCTTTAAATGAGATAGCCAAGTATGAAGCTATTTCTACAAGTATTAGATGAGGCGTCACCTTTTGCAGTTGGCTGGTTAATGAACTGCCTTTCATGGCTTTCCCCGTACCCTTCAATGATAGGTGATTGTATGAATAGGTACATTTAACAAAGGTATACATATGTATACATGGTATAAACATCTAGATACAGGTTGTTAACTACTACCTCTTGATTGTGACCAAATGCAAATAACTGGTTTGGGGTGATTAATGCGTCATTTGTTCTTACACACATGGTGTGATTATCAGATAAGTAATTTTTAATGTTGGTAATATTTACAGTATTCTGGTATTTATTAAGAAGATAAAACAAATATACTTTGTTTTGAAGGATACTTGATTTCTAGCTTTAAGGATGTGTTCACTTGCTGTTCAGACTTCAGTCAAAGGGCTGGTAGTTACAACCTGACGTGGAGATCAACTTAATGCTGGAATAGGATAGCTGCGAGTAGTGAAGTTTGTGCTGTCTGTCAGAAAGCTGTTGTTGGACATGCGTGATGGCTGTTGTGGCTAGATAGCCTCCTTGAAGAAAAAAACATGGAGATGTTTGCATTTAACCAGTTCACTTGTGTAAGACAATCAAGTATCATTGTAGACTGAGTGTTGCAAAAGAAAAGTAATGAGATGTTTGTTCTCTTCTTTTCCAGACTATCATTTTACTCTGGCCATTCTTCGTTCTCCATGTACTGCATGCTCTTCCTAGCAGTAAGTATGCTCTTTCCATCTAAATGGCAACAAAAAGCCTGTTAGTTACCTAGTCCAGAAATTGAAATGTTTACGTGGCTGCTTTGGGCAAGGGACATTGATTGTGTAGGTGCTTTTTTGAGATAACTGAAGATTTCTCAGTAGGAGTTGTAAGTGAATGCCGCTGATACTGGGGCAAGAAGTAGAATTATGTTCAATATGGCTAAAAATACTACATATGGTAGTTGGCTTGTGTGTCTTTTCTAAAATGAACCTGGCAATAAGTGGGTTTGGAAAACATGCTGCTACTTAAATTTAATTATATTGAAAGCAATATAAAATATATAATAAGGTATGTCTGACTTAATGAAACATGCAAAGCGTATTTAAAAATGAGAAAACCTAAACCCTGATCAAAAGTGGGTGGGCCCATAAGCACAAAACAGCAAATTAACTTGAATTTTTAAATTCCTTTTAATTTTATCCTATCTTTTAGGGGCAGGGAGGCAGAGCGAGGAAAGGAAGGGGACAGATCTGTCTGTGGAAGCAAATACTAATGATAAGATCAATTACTAATGCTTCAATTGGAGCCTAAAGCATTTCAGTTCAAATTGTTCTAAGTCAGCTAGGGCAAATTATCTTCACTCCTAGGATAAGCATTGTAACACTGAAAGATTGATTTGGTTGTTCTTCCCCTGGTAATTTGTAACACAGAAGGTATTAAACAACTTTCTGCAATTTTGTTGTTAATGTAGTTGTAAAATTAAGCTCTAGTCCTGGATATAAATTGCTAACATAATACATCCATGCCAGGATCTTCACAGAGCTCAGATTCAATTTGACTTCTCATCCTGATTGCATTCTTAACTTTTTCGCTGTCTCTTGGGAATAGTATAACATCTACAGTGAGTGGACAAGATTATTCAGACTAAACTAAAAACCCTACAACCACATACAGAAAGGAGTGGCTCTTCAGTATGACATAGGACTTTTTAAGCTTTATGTTAAAAAAAGCTTTTTCAGAAGCTCAGTGTTTGGTTTGGATCTAACATTGCAGTTTGTTTATGGCTAAACTGGTTTAGTTCCTTTCCCCTCTCTTACCTGTTTTTATCTAATACAAAGAATTCATAAAAATATTATGTCCTGGGTTTGACTGGAACATAGTGCAACTTCCTGTCAGCTGTTTAAAAAAAAAAAAAAGTGCCGTCACTTGCTCATTGTGACTGGCAGTCTCCAAAATTATATAGGTCCACTTGTGATATGATTCCAAAGCCAAAACCACTATTTCCATAATACAGTGGAGCACATACTGCTATACAGCAACCTAAGACTGATTTGCTCCATTGGGTTCAGCCATACCCTTCTGATCCAACTTCTCTGTGCATGGTTTTGTTGAGCACCATGAGAGGGTGATACTGCCACCTCTCAGCAGCGCAAACTTAGTGACAAGAAAAAACTTGCTAGGTGTTTGGCAATGTGTATAGTTCCTAACTTTTGCTGACTGGATTACAGTCATTTGACAGGGATGTGAATCTGTCAGAACTTTTACCTCTGTCACATGTTATGTGTAAGGAGAGTCCTGCTTGCCGCAGCCTGAGGAAATGGTGGTGGTCAGGAGGACTTGTCAGCTGGTACAAACTGAGAAAAAGGAGTTGTTATTTTCAAACCTTGCATCTGTTAATTAAAACCTGTGTATGCCTCTGCTGCCTGCTTCCCTCCCCCGCCCCCCCAAATACAGCTTGGACTCCAGACCTTGTTTGTTTAAAAAAATGCAACCTTTGGCAAGAAAGTCAGGAGTTCTTTATTTTGAAGATACTAACTTCATGTGGGTTGAATAATGCTTTCTGTAGTTGCCTGTGGCGTGGGTTTTTGAATCCATGCAAAGGAGCTTGTGTGGAGAGTTCCTGAACAGGCAGCGATGAACTTTACCTGTCTTGGGGCTTTGTGTATGTGAGCTTCACACTCGGCAGACTTCTGCGTGGGGGAGAGGTGGGACAGTAGAAGTCAAATCCATCCTCTGTATGCCCCTTTGAAATGCTGTAAACCCAGAGCTTGTGTCAGTCCTGGTTCAGCAATGAAATAAAACTTGCTGTGGCTCAGCAAGCTGCTACAGAAACTGTCCTTGTGCTCATTCAGTTCTGTAGTAACTGCAAGACAACATCGCTTTACCTAGCTCCCTTAAACTAGAAGGGTATGAATGTCCTTAACAAATGTCATGTTAAGAGTTAAACAGTAAGTGTTTTGTTGGAGATCAGTTTGTTATTCAGTAAACTTGTCAATGAATAGCCAGAACCCTGGCTGGAGGAGAAGGCATTCTTTAATCTATTCCTGCACCCCAGTTTCTTGTCTGTGGCTGAGCTATTGCCCAGTACAAGTAAGAGGCTTTGTGGTGATCATACTTATACTTTCTTCTGTCCTGTAATAAGATTGTTCATTCAGAAACTGTTGGGAGGCCTTGACAGGGACATCTGAAGAAGGTTAATGATTCCTGTGCAGGATATTTTTACCTTGCTGATTAACACAGCATTACTGCATACCAACCTTTGCATTCAAAGTGGTCTTTTTATTTAAAAAAAAAAAAAGGTAAAAAAAGAGAAAGTACATATATCTTCAAGCAAACAGCTACTGCAGGAAGGTGAGGAAAACTGCTTTCTAACCCTCCCCCTTGACCATGTGGCAAGGCAGAGTGCCGCCACTGGCTCAAAACCAAACCTGCGGCACTTGATAACCTGTTTGTTAACTGAACTCTGATGCTGGCTTCATCTGCTCTTTGCACACTTGCTCCAGCCACGGACTGAGTCATGAGCAGGACAGAATTGTTAACATGTGGCATTACTCATAGGCAGTATTAATCATAACCAGACACTAGCATGCTGGTTTCTGGAGAGACTGGAAGAGTCTGCCATGTGTGCATACTGCAGATAGCATACTCTTAAAATGTTACTTGCAGAACACGTGTGCTCTGTCAGGTTATGCATTTCAAAAATGAGGGAACATTTTGGGGGAACCAAAGGGGAAATGATCTCTGCCACAGACAGCAGGAACACTGCAACCGTGAAATGAGAGATGCTTGAAGTATGTGGCTTAAAGCCACCTTGCAAAATACTAGGCAAAGTAGTGAAATACTTCTGCAGCTTCAGTTACTTAAAGCAGAACTGCTGAAGTACAAACAGGTTAAATTGTGGCTTTTTTCTTTTCTGTGCACTTGCACATGATGGATTAAAAACAAATGTGAGGTGGTTCATCAGCATTTTCAAATGCTTCAGATGCTTTAAACCTTTGGTGACATGAGAAATTCCACAAGTCTCAGTGGGAACTGTGGTATCTGAGTTCTGACTGCATGGCTTTGCTGGAATTGGGAGAAAAAACTGCTATTTTGAACATAATCCTGTGCTGCATGTCCCACCTCATAGTGAGGGCAGTACATGGAAACACCTGACAGCTCAGCCTTTATATTTAATGTGAAGGAAGTTGTTGACAAAAACTGTAACCTGTAGGTGCTGCTGAGTAGGTGTTTTTTTAAAAGTTCATCTCTTAGGGATGTTGTGACTTTAATGTCTTTATATTCTGGGGGCTTCATTACCCTGGAAGCAGGGATTTTATCTAGATGGTCTCTCATTTTCTTCATTCAAGGAGCATATAGAAGAAAATGTGTGGTTTAGTTAAGAATGAAGGAAAGAAGCTGAAAAGCTTAAAATTCTAAGCTGAAAATACACAACTTGAATTTAAAAAGAGCTAAAGAACTATGAAAGAATATCATGCCACATGAACTGTTCAAAATGAATAGTCTAATCAAACACATATCTGGGAATTTGAAGCATTTCTCCTTAATTTTTCTTTTGATTTATGGGACAGCATTGGAGAGCAGAAGTTTACTTCTGACTTCAGGAATGGAAATACTTGGGCTCATGTATTTCTGGGAGGACACAAATAACCTTTGTTCCCCAGCATTTACAGTTACTTAATACTCTCTTAGGTTCCTTGCAGGACCAGCATTCACCTTCCATGCATGGGTAGTCAAGCCTTTAAAGGTTATCTAAATAGAAGGAATGAGTCAGTGATACCATATCGACTTACATATTTCCATAGTTGATAGCAGCTTCATTAAGCTGGTCCCTGCTTAAAGCCTTTTACGGCAAACTGTAATGAATCTACATTTTGTTACCATGTTTGAATTGTCAGTGTCCTGATGTGCAAAACCTCTACTTGAACTGGTCTCATGTAGCTTGCTGTATGTGACTATCTGGCATTAAAATGGAAGGAAGGGAAGCACCTACTGCAAATCAGTGTGGCCCCTGCCATTCAGAAAGGAGGTTTGCTCATCTGCAGAGTAAAGAGAAGAATGCATTAATTCTGTTTCATAAAGCACTTTAACAAGTTATAGAAGAATGATAATACAATAGAAATGTGTGGGCTTTGAATAACTTTAGGGAACATTAAATAGTTTGTATACAATCTACCTATTTAAATAAGCAGTAGTGTATATCACTTACCATTCTTACAGCATAGAGGTCACTGCTGCATTTTTAACTGGATGTTATGTTGCTATGTGGCTGTACAAAAGCCATTTGGTCTAGCTGGACCAGTTTAAGGCCTGGGTTTTCAACCTACTTCCAGGTTAGGCTTATGGCTTCTTCTGGTTTCTAACTCACTGGTATATGGAATGAGTGAAACCACAGAAAAAATCTGCTTGCAGACTGTCAGGCCAGGAAGCTGTGGTGGAGAATGTATTCTGAGGTTCATTTGGCAGGCCTAGGTGAGTCAACTTGGGTCCAGACAGAGCCTTTATCTCTGGGACGCTTTTTGCCAACAGCTTCATGTGGAAACTAGAGGGAGTTTGACTGCAACAATGTGTGGGAACCCAGTGACCTGATAACAGATGCTGGAGCGAGCCCAAATTGTCTCTGTCATTCCCTCCCCCTGCTGCTCCTTTCCTTTCATGGATAAACAGCTGGCATGATCTCTCCTGTATCAACAAAACCATTTTGTCTTAGCTGAGAGAACGGGAGGGTGAGTGTGGT